TGACCAGCACGAACTCGCGGCGCGCGCGTTCCCCAGCCCCATCCACGCCGCCTGCCGCCTCGTCCCAGGCGCCATATTTGAGGTACTCAGCCGGCTCGGCCACCTTGCCGCGCGTGGCCAACTGCCAGGCCTGGTAGCTGCTGACCGGGTCCAGCTCGGCAACCCTGCGCCCGGCAGCGCTGGCCCAAGCATCGCCCCGGCCCGCGGGCCGCAGACTCAGGCACTGGAGGAAGTGGGTCTGCGCATCGATGGGGCCTGGCTCCCCGCCCTGGGTGCGCCCCACCTCGGCGCGGCGGTGCACGGCGTTGTGCGCACTCAGGCTGTCCAGGTTGGTGAACAGATTCCCGCACTTGGTGCAGACCTCATAGAGGGACAGGCCGGTGACAATGGTCTCCTCCTGCACCACGTTGTTGATGGTAGCAATGGGGTCCAGCTGCCGGTTCTTGCTGGCCGCCCTGGGGCCGTGCGCCTTCATGTGGTTCTTGAGGAACCAGGGCTCCTTGAAGCGGCGGCCGCAGATGTGGCAGCCGTGGTCGAAGGAGCCCCGGTGCTTCTTCATGTGCGCCTTCAGGAACCACGTCTGGCTGAAGGCCTGGCCACACACCTCGCACGGGAACTCGCCGGCCGGGAGCTCGCGCCCGTTGTCCGCAGCCGCCTCTGTGCCCCCGGGGCCCTGTGCCGTGATGTGCTCCTTCTCCACGTGGCTGAGCAGCGCCTCCTCGCGCAGCGCCATGAAGCGGCACAGGCGGCAGCGGAAGGGCCGGTGCGCGTGCTGCAGGTGCCGCTCCAGGCCCCGCGCGCTCTCAAAGGCGCTCTTGCAGAACGGGCAGTGCGCCAGCGCTGCGCCCTCGCCCGCCGTGGCCCCGTCCTTGCGGCCGCTGCGCAGCAGCACCTTGCCGTCGGCCGTGGCCCCGTTCAGCATCTTGTTGCAGGCCGACGAGCTCTTGGTGGGGCTGGCGCAGCCGTCCAGGCCCTCGGACACGCGCAGCTCACCCGGCGGGGCCTCGGCCGCCTCCGGCTCGCGGCCCTGCACCAGCGTGCCCGTGCGGTGGCTGCGGATGTGGATCTTGAGGTTGCCCTTCTGGGAGGCGCGGTGGTCACAGTAGGGGCACCTGTAGGGCTTCTCTCCCGTGTGTTTGCGCATGTGCTGGGAAAGCGAGCTCTGGAACGGGAAGCTCTTGCCGCAGATGCAGCAGCTGTGACACGCCACCTTGTCCCCGTCCACCTCGGGGCCCCGCCGCAGCTCCATGTCGGCGTCTCGGTTCCGATCCATCGGGCCGGCTACCTGAGCTGACGCTGCTGGCGGGAGGGCTGTCCGCGAGGGGCGGGGGTTGCCTCAGGCTCCGGTGGGCGTAGCCCTATCTCTCCATCTTGAGACAGGCTTCGCTTCCCAGCTGCCGGAGGGGTGCCTGCTGTGGCTGCGTTCCAGCATATTCTACACCAACAGCATGGCCAATGGCAGCACGCACCTGGAAGACACGATACCAAAGTCAGGCGTAAGGACACCAAGCAAGCCACACAGGACACACGACACTGCCGGTGGTGAGCCCCCTCGGATCTCTTACCACCCACATCTCAGGAGGAGATAGTCCTCCTACAACGGGGATGACACGCAAACCTCAGGGTCACCCGGCTAAATCACCCAGCAAAGCCAGCAGGCACACAGGGGCCAGGCCGGCACGTTTACCCCTAGCACCCAAGCTAGCCTGTCAGCCTGGCGAAGCTGCAGGCCCCGCGCCTGCTGAACACTCGATGAGCTGCCTTCCCAACTGCAGTCACCTTTTCCAAGCACTCCACGGTCCCTCTGCCAAGCAGCTTACAAGTTCTGCTTCCATTTGACACACAAGAAACTTCGGGCATCACCCTCTCTCACCTGATGTTGGTGAGCCAGTCCCCAAGGTGGGAGCCATCCCTTTACAGTACATCACCCTCCATCCACACCCCCTCATCTACTCCCTGCCCACCCATCCACCCATCCATCCGTCCATCCGTCCATCCACCTGTCCCTCACCCATGTCTGGTTATGTTTCTCAAGAGAAAGCTGAGACAGTCAAATCCAAATCTGCCACTAACATCAATTCTGCTTAGCGCACCTTCCACCAGGTTCCTGAGGGGATGGTTAACGGGAAGCAAACTGTCTGCCTTCCTCCACTCGGGTGTCCAGTATATTCAGAATATTCAGAGCACCAGCCTTTATTGCCAGCAGCCTCACCACATGCACAATGCTGCCACGACACCCTATAGCCGTCTCACCAAAACCAGCACCGCAGGGGCACTGTTCCAAGTCCGTGACCCTCCACTGGTCACCTGGGCTGTCAATCTCGAAGGTGCAGACAGCCCACCTTTCTCCCTCTGGACAGAGCTTTGAACCACCAACATTTCCGTTAGCAGTGTGACATGGAACACACCAAGTCTAGAATACACAGACTCGTGGGAATCATCCTGTGGTTGCCAAGTGCAGGTGCTTAAAAGTCAAGAAGGCCTGGTGGCCTAAAGGGTGTCAGATGTGAGGAGAGTGAACATACCACATACCACAGTGAACACACTCAACACTGCGCAGTGCCCTTAAAAATGGCTAAATCGTTCTAAATAAATTCTACTTGTGTCTATGTGTGTGCATACATGCACAAAAACATGTCACTTGCAGTGAAATTAAAGCGGCACCAACAAAATGTCACATAAATAAACAGCTTATTTTTAAAAAGGTAAACCATAATTTGAGCAATCATTAAATATTAATGACTGTGGGCTTAATTCTCAACTGCAGACATGTCTGGGGGCACACCATGGTGTGGAATCGGGGTATGAGATGCACACCCCCTGGTACCACAGGAGGAGGGGTGCGGGGACAGGGCTGAGGGTTCACAGCAGAGCAGAAGCTGGCTCCTGGCCCGACAGGCAGGTGTGTGGCTATGGCCCTTTTTGATGATAACGGTGCTGACAGGTAAGCTCGTCTTCAAGGGAAGCAGAGAGGAAGGATGGGAAGCAGACACACCAAGAATGGGAGCTTGTGCACACAGATGGCAGGCCCTCTCGGACACAGAGTCTGCCCACAAAGCACTGCAGTTGTGCTGTGACTGTCAAGACACTCCACTGTGGTCTGCAGTGTGGCTGTGAACTCTAAGTGGTACAGCAGTCGTCTGTCTAGTTGCTGTACTGAGTAACGTGGAATTGCTGTTCCTGGGGAGAATCATGGGGTAGGCTCTCCGCGGCCAGGGAGGCTGTGAGCACAGCTCTGTCTCTGTCACGTGGGCAGGACTATCTTGGGGGCCGTGAGTTTGCTTTGGCTCTGGACTGGTGCTTTATTTTCACATCTATTTATGAGATTAAGTTTTAACCTGTTGCAAGAAGCATTTGGGTGACCTACAGAACACACAGGTGCCTGGCTGCCATGCCCAGTGACAGTTGTGGGATCAGAGGACATCCTCACAAGACGGACCTCACACCAGGTCCCACCTGGTCAGAGACCTGCAACTATTGTGGGATCAGAGGACAAGACCCCCACCTGTGGCCTCACCCCCAGTGCCTCTTGCCCTGAACCCCGCACTGTGTGGTCAGCTGGGAACACTCAGTGCAGGGCCTTTGTGTAGATGCCATCGAGTCACCACTACTCCCAGAGACTCTGGGACAGGCACAGGATCGAGCCTCCTGGTCTTGGCTGCCCAGTCATGGAGCAATGTGAGTGGCTCTGATAAAATGGCAGGTCAACACCAAGGAGTCGTTCTCCATAAACATTTGCTGAATGAAACGTGGTCCTCTCTGAAGATGGCAGGGCACCAGCACCGACACTGTCTGATGTAACACACTTAAAAAGACGAAAGAGTTCAATGCAACAAGAGAGGCCTGTGAGGTGAACAAGCAGGCACAGAAGATCCAAGAGCAGCATCTGCCCCAGGTAAGGGCCAGAAGGCCAGAGTGGCAGCAAAGGATGGGTGGAAATGGGGACCACAGTGAGGGGAAGGGACGAATGTTGTCACACTGAGGGAACTGCAACCAACATCATGGGAAAGGTGTGGAAGGCTTAAATGAGACCTGTGCACTCTGGAAACCTTCGCCCAAATCCAAGATAAGGTTTCTTTAACAAAAGGATAAAATAACCAGCTCATGAGCTGACCCGGCTGAAAAGTAACAGTGGGAGTATTTACTCAGCCTTTGAAGTGCTGGTCAACAAGCAGAAATGTTCTCCTAGCAGCCTGCAGTCTTCAAACACAAGTTCAAACATGTCCCCTCCAGGACCCTTCTTCATACAAGAGGACAGAAGACACCAGCGAGGGCCAGGCAGCACCAAGCCTGAGAAAAAGTACAGTCAGAAGGTCACTGTGGGCCTGTTGTTGGGAAAGGACATCATGCTTGGAAGAGCTGGTCAGTGAAAAGAGACGACTTCAACGACATGGACTAACAAACACAGTGGTTCCCACGGTGAGCCCCACCCAGCACAGCTGGACGGGTGGTGCAGGGCCCGGAGGGGTTTCCCGCCATCGTACATGGGGGGCCCACGGGCAGGAGCCAAATGCAGGTCACCCACCAACAGGCCGGTGTCAGGGAGCATGAAGAAGTGCCTCAACCGTCTGATGACTGGTGTTACCTGGGTGAAGTTGGGTGCCGTCAAGTCACCTGTGACTTAGAGCAACCCTATGAACGACCGATCAGAGCCTTTCCGACCTGGGCCTCCGCCACTTTTTCCTTTCTCACTGCCAACTTTTAGATGCATAGGAAGTAACTGAAAAGACCACTCTTGGCCTTTAAACCAGCACCTCTGCTCTTCAGCACTCTGGCCAGGTCCTTGATGGGACATGTTCCCAGCATAACATCTTTTGATCTGACTGCTGCTACCACCAGTTTTGACTGTGGATGCAGTAAAATGGAGAGGCTAACAGCCTCGATCAATGCGTGATGCATACTGATGGGGAGAGGCTGCTGAGGAGACAGGCAGAGGGGCGCTTGCCAGAGAGCACCGTTACAGGGCAGTGCCAAGCCAGTGCCGAGTCACAGAGTACCAGGCCGGGGCAGTGCCGGGGTAATGCTGGGCCACAGGGCACCGTGCCAGGGTAATGCCGGACCAGATGCACTGTGCCAGGGTAGTGCCTGGCCAGAGCGCACAGTGCCGGGGCAGCGCAGAGGGACTCTGAGGTACGTGGGCATCCTCTAACTGGAGGTGCGTGCCAGCATGAGAGACAGACAGCGGGCTGCTCTGGGGGTGGGACTGCCCTCCCCCACCCCTTCCTACCCTCTCTCCCTTCATCCTTCCTCCCCTCCTCCTGCCTCCCCTTTCCAGGACCCCAGGAAGCCCTGAGGCACCACAGAATGCACTTTGGGGACCATCAACTTAGCTTCACTTTGTTGTTGTGGAGTTAGAACTGACCCACAGCTGACCCACCTGCGGGTTTTCAGAGGCAGTTAATCGCACGGGAGGTCACCCACACCCCTCCCGCGGAGCAGCTTGTGGCCTCAAAGCGCGTGCCTTCGGGACTGCAGTGCAGCTTCTTGCCACTAGGCCACCAGAGCTATTTTTCTTTACTTTTCACAAATGCCAGAAATGCAGCAGCAGGAGACCTGACTCTGGCATGTGCCACAGTGAGCGGTGCGATTTCTGAGAAGCCCTGCTCGGGGGTCAGTGTCCACTCTGCAGTTACAGATGCCCCCTCAGGCGCTGGCATTTGAAGGAAGCCCCCCAAGACCCCAGCACTCAGTCAGTGAACCCCAGCATCCAGGGAACCTCCTGGGCCAGACAGGAAGTAGCCATGCAGCAGGCCCCTCCCATACGGAAAGCCCATCCTGCGATCGGCTGACATGGCTGGCCAGGCACTGTGACTCCATCACAGGTGCAGTGCCACATCACCGAGTCCACGGAAACCTACAATGGCCACATCCCCGAGGCCACGGAAACCTACGATGGCCACATCCCCGAGGCCATGGAAACCTACGATGGCCACATCCCCGAGGCCACGGAAACCTACGATGGCCACATCCCCGCGTCATGGAAATCTACGACGGCCACATCCCCGCGTCATGGAAATCTACGACAGCCACATCCCCAAATCCACGGAAACCTACGATGGCCACATCCCCAAGGCCATGGAAACCTACGATGGCCACATCCCCAAATCCACGGAAACCTACAATGGCCATATTCCTGAGTCTATGGAAACCTATGACGGCCACATCCCTGAGTCCACGGACACCTACGACGGTCACATCCCCGAGTCCGTGGAAATCTATGACGGTCGCATCCCCAAGGCCACAGAAATCTATGACGGTCACATCCCCAAGGCC